TCCTCCACCAGCTCCCTTCTCCCTCCTTCTCCCTTTCCTCCTTCTCCATACCAGCTTACTCCCCTCTCCTTCTCCACCAGCTTTTTACCCTCCTCCACCACGTTCTCCTTCCTTCCCCTCCTTCTCCACGCTTCTCCCCTCCTTCTCACCACCTCTCTTTCCCCTTCCTCCTTCTCCACCAGCTTCTCCCCTCCTCCTTCTCCAACACCTTCTCCCTTCTTCCTCCTTCCTTCTCCCCAGCTTCTCCCTCCTTCATTCTCCACCACCCCTCCTCTCCCCTTCCTCTTCTCACCAGCTTCTCCCTTCCGCTTCTCCACCCTTCTCCCCTTCCTCCTTCTCACCAGTTTTCTCCCTTCTCACCCTTCCTCATGGCCTTAGCCATTGATCTAAGTCGCGGCCATACCGGCCAGCGTGCGTGTAGTCACTTCCTTCGTGCGCAGGGAGGAAGGGAGGCGAGAGGGGTACGACAGTGGGACTACTAGGAGCTACGACGGTACTATAGTTACTAGGGCTACGACGTACTAGAGCTTACGACTCGTTACTCGTTGCATGACGTAGTAGGTAGTATTACTCGTACGGTAGTCAGTCGTAGTAGTAAAACCTAGTGTTGTAACCCTGAGGTCACGCTTGAAACGTAAACTAATCGACCACCGGGCCCATCGAAACATAACAGAAAGCTCGCAGCTATCAGTCAGACACGCATCCCCCCCCGCCCGGGCCGCCTTGAACATTTGGTTAATTACTGCAAACCCATGTGTGTTTTACAGAACAAACATACTAAAAACTACTTTAACCTACCGAAAGGCGGCACCGGCCCTCCTGGCCCGAAAGGCGGCACCGGCCCTGCTGGCCCGAAAGGTGACCCCGGCGCTCCTGGCAATAAAGGTGAGAGTGGTAGGCACGGACGTAGGTTCTGATTGACCGCATAGTCGGTTATGTCACATTCTACACTTTATTCAATTGTACCACGAACGGATCTATACCATCATTAGGTATAGCTACTTACAGGCATACGTTCGTGGTTATGTCCATAGATATAATATATTACGCATACAGTTAATGGAACCTCTATATAACGGCCACCTGTCCATCACGGACACTTCTAGGGTGTTTCCCCGGTGACACTTACCACGATCGAACGATCGAACACGCTTTTTGCGTATCATTCGGGTGGCCATTATATACAGAGTTGACTGTATATTGATATCCGAGATGGTCTTTCTACTGTATGTAGATATAACTATGGTTACTTGATGTTCCGATCGCAGCCATATAGTTCCGAAATTATGCAACGTTCGCGAATATATGATACCTACATGAAACTATATTACTATATAATTAATATGTAAACTACACGAAACGTCTCGTTCTGCTCCACGAATGAAGCCAAAAAAATTAACGAAAAAAGAAACAAAACAGTTTCGTATTTAACGCGTAGTTACCCGGGTTCCCGATAGGTTCCGACGGTGCCCCCGGGCCCGCATGCCCGGCAGGACCAGTAATCACCAACATCCAGGTTATCTGTGAGGGCAACTCGGTCACCATCTGCTGTCCAGTAAGCATGAGGATCGCTCAGGCGTCGGCTATCTACGGCCGGCGGGAGGGAGAGAAAGTCTGTCCGACCAAATTCGCCAGTCTATGCCAGCGCTACAACGACGTCACGGCGCGCGTGTCGACGTGCAACGACCAGCAGTGCTGCACGATAAGGTCTGCGAATCTCAAGCTGGGCGGTGACCCCTGCCTAGGCATACGAAAATACGCAGTCGTCACGTGGGATTGTCGCTTGGGAGAGTAGAAAGCTGATTGGTGACGATCGACTGATACACCTGTCGACAGGTAGACAACCGGCGTCGCGATTAGGAGCGTTCTCAAAACGATGCTGAGCAACGAGGTGCCAGTGGCACGAACGTTTTGTATTGTGTAGCGGAATAGTATTGCCGCCCCGTCTGTCTGGCTTCTTCGCCATACACGTGTTAGCATACATCAAAGTAAAAAAAATGTTTAAGCTTCTCCCCGCTCCCTCCAACCACTTTCCCTTGCTCCCTCCTTCCCCCACCCGTTCTCCTTTTTCTCCCCCTGGTCTCCCCCGTCCTCCGACCACCTTCTCTTTCTCCCCTCCTCCTTCGTCCACAGCTCTCTCTCCGGCCTCCTTCTCACACCTTCTCCTTCCTCGCCTCCTTCTCCACGAGTTTATTCCCCCTTCCTCCTTCCACCAGCTTCTCCTTTCTCCCGCTCCTCCTCCTCCACAGATCCCTTCTCCCCTCCTTCTCCCTTTCCTCCTTCTCCACCAGCTTCTCCCCTCTCCTTCTCCACCAGCTTCTCCGCCTCTGTCTTCCACCAGCCTCTTTTCTCCCTCCTCCTTCGTCACAGTTGCTCCCCTCTCCAGACACCTTCTCCCTGCTCCCTTCCTTCTTTTCAACCAGCTTCTCCCTCCTCCTTCTCCACCACCTTCTTCATTCTCCTCTTCCATCCTTCTCCACAGCTTCTCCCGTCCTCCTTCTCCACTACCTTCTCCCTTCTCCCCTCCTCCTTCTCCACAGCTTCTCCTTCTCCACCAGCTTCTCCCTTCTCCCCTTCTTCATTCCTAGCCATATTGAGTCGGCTATAAGTCTAGCTAATAAGTTCTAGCTATATGAGTCGGGCCTTTACTTGTTATGTTCGTGCCTGTGTCCGAATTAGTTGTACGTTTCAGCTTGACCTCAGGGATTAAAACACTAGCGCTACTACTACGACTACACGCGGTACTTGTAAATACTACTACTAGGTCAACGAGTACGAGTACGTATTGCTCTAGCTACTGTCGCTAGCCCTAGTACTATAGTACGTCGTAGCTCTAGGTAGTGTTAGGTTTTGTAAGAATCCATCATGTTAGGCAACGGAGGCTTCAATTTCTATTTAGGTGCGAGGCAGGTTACCACTGCCGCCACGCTTATTCTATTGTCTACACTCAAACAACAGAACATTGCAAAAGTTACAAAGAATGACCACCGTGATGGCAGCACGTTCAATCATAATAATATCCATGTCACAATATCTCACACTCACCACCTTGGACAGTTAGCTGTCAACCAAATAAAAGAAACTCAAATCAAATCTTTCGAACATCCCAAAGGACTGTATGAATAATCAGAATTCAAGTCGCTCACTCTAAACAGCCAAAACTACAAATCTAATGGAGTTATCAAGAATACACGTGAGTCTCACTATTCTAAACAAAACAGCTGGCCAATCTAGTACCCTGGATTCAGGAGTTAAACTGAAAGGAAAGTTTTTAACAACATATTGCTATCTTGCAAAACTAACGATCTTATCTAAACTTGTCTCGGTCCATGCCGGAGAGCTCAAGCTCACTATATAAATGACAGATTGAACACCACTCCACCCACTAGAAACAATGTTCATATACAGTAGTTACAGTTAATAAACAGTCACACTAATAGTTGTAAGCCAAGAGCTTTTCCTTTGCGGTCCGCAGCAATGGCAGCCATGGCTCTCCTTGGTCTTCTTTTCTCTCGGAGTCGCTGATCGAGTAGGGTAGATTCTTGGATATCTCCGCCCTAAGCTGCTTCATCCGAGGGCTTCAGCCACAGATTGTCCGCCACACACCTCTGAGGGGATAAAGCGTTGTAGTGACGTCGTTAGTGGTAGTTATCTTTTCCCCTTTTTGCTGAGTTGCCACTTTCCACTGACAGCTTCCCCGCCCACCTTATTTATCAGACAGTTTATTCAACTCGATAACCTTTGCAGTTCCACAAGCAACGTGGCGTTGTTCTCCTCATGTTATGAGGACTATGTCACCGGACACAAATCTCTGAGGATGAATCACATTCTTCCCGTATCGCTGTCCCTCTCGTAGTTCTGCAAGGTACTCATTTTCCAGCGGACTCCAAGCCATGATCTAGGGCGAGCTGGCAGGGTGTTCTCCATCTGTTCGGCATAGTTGCTAAATTGGTTACCCGTGGCTCTGTTGACAGTCTCTTCATTGGCGTCAGGAAACGATTTAGCTTCTGTCCGTGTAGAGTAAGTGGACGGAAGTAAGGGGTTCGCTCGCAATCACTGGTAATCCAGGTCAAGTAAGCGGATCTCGAGTATTTTGAACACTGGTTTCAACTTCACATAGAGCTGTTTGGATCTCATCAACTGTAAGTTTAGCACCACCTACAGTTTTCTTCGGGGCGTTCGCGTCTTCAATGTCTTTAATTCAGTCTCTCAAGAAGCCTCCCCACGCATGGGGGCGGCTTATCCAGAGTTGAACTTCACTGGATCTGCGTTTGTTAGCGGCGTAGTCTTCACGGCCACTGATTCACGATCTTGTGCGAATGTTCTTAAGTGCCTTCATAAAGGGGGGTTGTGGCGCATTGTCGCTCACGACCAAGGGGACGGTCCCTCGTCTCCCAATGAACCGTCTAAGACATTCTCAGGAAGGGCAGGTCGTGGTCAAAATCGGTTCACCATTTCAGAGTGGACTGGCCCTTGTCACACAACAGGTGAAGAGACAGAACCCAGAGCCTTAGAGCCTCCATCTTTCGTGGAGAGTGGTCCAGCGTAGTCGAGACCCGTCATCGTGAAGCGGGGGTGGCCTCGGTCACTCTGAATTCAGGTGATGGTGTGGACATCATTGGGTTTGGAATTGGCTGCATCATCAGTTCTCGCTTACACAGTATGCACATTTCATTATTAACGGATCGTTACCATAGGATCTCCCTGTTGAGGTTATCCAGTATTTGGGATCTCAACTTCTGTTCAGGGTGGATTTTCCCCACTGTGGATCGTCACTCTCATGACAGTTCTGACGATAAGCGCCTTCGTAACTCATGCTTCTATTCAATAGGGATGGGCGTATTTCTGGGAATGAGGGGCTCTCATCTTTTCCAGACGTCCCTTACATCTCAGAGAGTCTCGGATCCTCAAAGAGGCCAAGTTGCGGAGTTTTCCATTTTTGGAAATAATGGATTCATCCAACAGACTCCTCTGGGGGGGAATTTTCCTTTTAGTCGCAAGCAACTCCTCTGCTTCTGTGTTATGTCTCTCGCCAGTGAGAGCGAGTCGTGCTGGGGTCACTTGGCCCTTCCTCAGGCGTCTCACGAATTTTCAAGCACAAGGGGCCGTAACTCTTCAGAAGTGAGTCTCCGATGCTAGCTGAAGGCAGAATGATCCAGAATATGCAGTCCAATTCTGGGCAGAATTCATGTTCCGTGGCGTCAGCAATGACCAGCTCTCTTCGCTTCACCTTCATTTCGGCTCGAGGCACTCAATGGGGTGATCCATTTGACAGGGTCATGCCTCTCAGGGAGGCATCGGGATTAGTCTGGGGTGTCACTCGTGTTCTTAGCCCAGTAAAGGACCATCAAGGTCAGGATAGAACACTGTGACAGTTCTTCTAGTTGCCATGCCCTTGAGGCGATATCGCAGGGAGGTCATTGTCGAGCCTGGACAATGCTGTCCCCAGGTGTCCACTGGGTACAGTTTACGTACTTCATTCACTCTATTTGGACGAATTGTTTCCATTCGGACTTCACTCCCTTGTATCCATGCCAGAGCAACTCTGAATCTGACCAGCGAATAGTGGTCTCCTCAATAGTGATCTCAAACTTTGTTGCTTCCTTCGCGTTCTAATCAAGTCTAGCAAGAAAGAACAAGTGCTGGAAGAGTTCTAGACGTGGATTGTCATTCGGGACACAGGGGCGCTCTCGAGTCTTGTTGACTACAAGGAATCGTGATTGGCCTCGGTGCTGTGTGACATCACTACAGATAGATCACTGCGGCCCCATAGGCTTCGCTGAGGCATCACGAAAAAAATCATGAATTTTATACACTAACTCACAGTTGTCTGATGTACAGACTCATAGGATAGTAGCAACGTGGGTTGGTTATACTGGGGAGCTGGCTCGTTGCGGAGGTCGTGCCACTTGAGGTTATTCCACTTCACAAGCTGAGGAAGAAGGTGTTCGCGAGGCAGGTCATCCCAGTCCGGATTCATGTTGACACAAGCTCTTGGAACAGCATTCTTGAACCTCAGCGATAGGGTGGTGGTTGCCACGGTATACAAGTGATCATAGAAGGTTGAGCGCATAGTTTCACGAACGCATTTCGTTTGGTTGGGATGACGTCCATTTGCTTGTTAGGCAACTAGGCACGGAGTTGAACACCAAGTGCTCCGCAATATGCGTCCAGACGATTCGCCAGTTTATTTTCCGGGAGGTCCACTGAGCTAGCACTAGATGTCGCACCCAGAAGTGTTGTTTGGGTGTAGGATTCGTCTTCCGATTACGACACCGCTGCCATGTTCACTCAGTCTCTCTCTGCTCAGTAATGTCTTCAGCCTTCACAGCCTTCTAAGGTTCTCAGGATCGACGTGTATGCCGAGTCATCAGTTCACCGAAATTGCCTGCGAACTGTCCGTAGTAAAAATCCTCCTGAGAGTAGGCAGATGGCTTTTCGCTTTCTCATAGAAGTCATAGGCGATCGAGTCCGTAGTGGTGAAACCAGACCGTCAGTGTCATCAACATATAATAGATTTCATGAATGCTCAGTCTGTGAAGGACAAGTCGCCATCCTTCGACATGTGGTGGTGTATGTGTGGCCCCATTCAGTAGAAGGGACTTGACGACACGGGCAAATACTAGCTCTGGTGAACGTAGCTCGTACAACATCCAGTTCGGTATCGTTCAATATCACGAACCACAAGAAACTGAAGGATCTTGGGCGGGGCTTCTTTATGCCAACCATCAGGAAAGGCGGGCTTTTCAATGTCTCAGGTAAGGGCTACAGGCTGCTGCAAGACGGGAATCGTTCGAGCAGGGGGTATGCAAGGATGGTTGTCTACAGAAGAGCGAGGACCAACGGTACAAAGCAGGTCAATTTAAGGGAGGATTTCCATGAGATCGACACGACGCATCATAGACAATCCTTAGTTTGGTTGGTGTCGTTGTCACACTATGACTCCATGATGTCGCCCAGTAGTGCGAGGGGAGGACTCCTCAGTCTCATTCTCTATGG